ATGGGCTCCGGAACGAAAACGGCAACCGTCTTGTTGGACTTCTCTCCGCCGCACGACTTTTCCATGGAAATTCCATCTTTATGAAGAAAGAACATCGCCGGTGGACATGGGAATCGCCCAACGGAACGACCCACGCGGAGATCGACCACATTCTCACCAACCGAAGGTGGAGCTTGCTCGATATCTCAGTAGTTCCATCCTTCTGCAGTGGCTCCGATCACCGCCTCCTTCGAGCGAAGGTACGATTCAGTCGAAGGCTGGAAAAGAAGGTCTGCCACAGTGCCGCAAGAAGGAAGAATGTCGTTTATGACGGTAACAGGCTAGAGGAGCTCATATCAAGTTGTGACTGGCCCATCGAGGAGGACCCAACGTACGACTACGACCGGCTTCTGAAAGGATTGCGAGCCTGCAGAGAGTGCGCCTCAGTGACTTCCGAGAAGTATGTTGAACGCGTTTCGAAGACCACCAAGGAAATGCTTGAAAGAAGAAGATTTCTGAGGCAGGATCCGAATGCAGCCCATCTCGAGCGACTGATAGCCAACGCCAGTTGCAGAACAGCTTTGCAGGAGGATCTCAGGAAGTACAGGCAAGCCAAGATACTGGAAGCAGCCGAAAGAAGACGAAGTCTCAAGAAGTGCCGAAGGGACCTCTGCGAATATCACGTACCGCTGGCTGCACTACTAAACGAAGACGGGACTCCGACTTCTTCCCGATACAAGATGGAATCTATCGCGAAGAACTTCTACACCAACCTCTTCCGCTCATCAACACCCGTGCAGATGCCCCGTTGTTCCCACTGGAGAAGTACCACCACGAATTCTACCTGCTGAAGTGCGTATCGCGATACAGACCATGAAGACGTCCACGGCTCCAGACCAGATCATCTTTCCGTCAAACTTCTGCGAGCCGGAGGACACCGTCTACACGAGATTCTAGCGTCGCATTTGACATCTTACCTTCAGAAGAAGAAGATTCCAGACCAGTGGAGAACGTCAAGAACAGTCCTTCTCTTCAAGAAGGGTGAACGGGAGGATCTTCGGAACTACCGTCCAGTATGCCTGCTGAGTGTGCTGTACAAGCTTTTCACGAAGATTATCCTCGCTCGCATATCTAGGACACTGGATGAAGCCCAACCCCAAGAACAAGCTGGATTTCGCAAAGGATTCAGCTGCATGGACCACATCCAGACGGTTTCGAGGGTCATAGAAGTCTGCCGGGAATACCGACTGCCTCTCGTCCTAACCTTTGTCGACTACGAGAAAGCCTTTGACAGCGTCGAAACCAACGCCATCCTGTCTGCGCTAGTCGATCAAGGAGTGGACCCAGCTTACGTGAGGACGTTAGCCGACTGCTACAAGGACTGTACAACGACGATGCAGGTATTCCATCGCCCCTGACCATCCCAATTGGGAAGGGGGTTCGATAAGGCGAGACAATCTCGCCGAAGCTGTTCACCGCGGCCTTGCAGTGGGTGATGAAGTCACTGGACTGGGACGAGAGAGGCATACGAGTTGATGGGAGATTCCTGTCGAACCTTCGTTTTGCGGACGACATCGTTCTCTTTTCGAGCAGTATCACTGAAGCAGAGACGATGCTGAAGGAACTGAACGAAGTAGGGAAGAAGATCGGACTGCGAATAAATCGGAAGAAGACTCAGTTCATGAAGAACGCCCTTTGCAAAGATGCAGAAATGGAATTGGAAGCACCCCTATCACGGAGACGTCTTCTTACGTGTACCTCGGACGTTCGATGAACATGGAAAACGACTTGAGGGAAGAACTTAACAGGAGAAGAAGAGCAGCCTGGGCCGCCTTCGGGCCTCTGAAGGAAGCCACCGACCAACTGACGGACCCGGAGCTTCGTGCCCACCTGTTCGACTCAACCGTTCTCCCGGCGCTCTGTTACGCAACTGAGACTTACACGATGACTGTACACGATACACATCATTACTGAAACTACGGTTTTTCTCTTTGTATTCAAAGCTAAGAAAAATTGCGACGTCGCACGCGTCGTTCGCGTTGCCGCACTACGTTGCAACTAATGTTCGATTTGTCCTTATATCTCCTGAACAAATATTGATGGCACAGCTCCACAGACCCTTTCGAGAAGTAGGAGCTTAGGTCTTTGACTTGATAACCTTGGTTAAAAAGAAAACCTCCTGTAAATGCTGAAAAGATCCTTCAAAGGTGCGTGCTGCACCATGTGCAGCACCGGTCCAAAACGTGTTAAATAGCTATAGGCTATCGAAATCACAAAATGATAAGAACGGCTTCAGATCATTCGTCACAGACAACTGTTCATTCTTGCTATTTAATTTCGGGTTACGAGCAAGAATGAACGCGGCTTCTAACACTTTTCGAGCAGAGATGTTGTCCTCGATTGCCAGCATGCTGCAAGTTATGTCAAAGTCCTCGCCGCCGTGATCTTCGCTTCTATGCTTCCCCAATGGGCTTACAAGGCTCTGTCTTCTTTTGCTGGCCAGATGTTCATTTACACGTACAAAAAGCGGTCGACCGGTCTCGCCGATGTAAATGGCCCATCATGTTCGACATTCCAACTGGTAAACTACACCACTTTTTGAGCAATCTCCTGACCTTCCGTTAGTGCACACAACACAATTTCGCGATGTGCAAGCTCTATCGTATAATCGATTTCGTACCAGTTGTTTCTTGATGTTGTCTTGTGGTAAATTCACTAGAACAACATCATTATCCAACTGTGCTTGCGTAATACATCGCTTGACTGCGTTGGTCACTTTGTCGCATATAAACGGCAAGCATAAAGGAACACGTGTTCGACTTTGGTTGCTGTCGTTCATGTATGTTCGTTTGGAGGCTTTCGATTGCAGCGAGTATCCGTTGTTGGAAGCTATGACGCGTGCCATTTCCAGAGACTCAAGTCTCTCACTTTCTCCGCTGCACACGCTGCTGGCTGTCTTGAACATGTTGCGGATAACCGCACGTTTCACGGCAGTTGGGTGAGCGGAAGTGGCGTGTAAGATAATGTTCTTGCTGCTCTCTTTCCGATACCATTTAATGTATACAGCGCCGTTTGCCAACATCACCTGTGTGTTAAGGTAGGGTAACCAGTCATCGTGTGGTTTCTCTCTAGTTAAGCTAATGTACTGCGATTGTTCATTGAGGGTCTTAAAGCACTCATCCATTTCGGACTGAGTCGAAGTCACAATGAAACAATCGTCTATATATCGACAGTACATTAGGGGACGTCGCGTTAATACAGGCTCTTCTATCTTGCTCATAAAGCAGACAGCAAGAACCGGCGCTAGTCTTTGCCCCATCGCCAGCCCTCTTACTTGTGCGTAAAACTTGCCCGACCATTTAAAGATGTTACATTAAGGCATTCCTTGATTAGAGCGATGATGCGCACTTTACTGAGTCCGTACGTTTCCATACTTGCAATATGCGTATCGAGGAGCTCAGAAAGTGCTTGTAGGGCGTCATCATTAGACACATTTGTGTATAATGACTCCACATCAAACGACTCCATTACACAATTCTGATCGAAATGCGTATTGTGTAATTGTTCAAGAAAGCGGTTGGTGTTCGGTAAATGGGCGGGTATTTTAGTTAAGAGTTGGCTGACAATCTTGTTTAAAAACCATGCAATTCTGTCTGTTGGCCCTCCAACACAACTGATGATTGGTCTAATCTTGCAAGTTGCGGCTGACACATTTTGTGGGTCGGTCGAGAGCTTGTGTGTTTTTACGAGGCCATAGAAGACAGGGCAGCTTGGGTTTTCAATCCTGAGCCGACTGAGGAACCTTTCTTCTATACCGGCTTGCTTGCCAATCATCATCCAGATGTGGTTCAGTCGCTTGCATTGAGAAAGATATTCTTTCTCCGTCGTAACACGGTAGACTGAATCATCGGATAAGTGATTTTCGGTAATATCACGGTCCAGTGTCTGAGGCATGACGACGAACTCACCCCCTTTATCGCTGACTGAAAGCCGGAGGGTGCCGTTCGCTGTCAATTCCCGTAGCTCCTTGAAACCCTGCTTTTGTGCGTAAGTCAAATTGGAATATTTGAAACTGCGGCTTTCATTTAGAATGCTCAAAATGCCCGCCGACAGTATCCGAAATTTGACATCAGCTTCATGGCAGGGATCGGGTTCTTTGTAGAACGACGAAGGGAAAGGTATTGAGGGTAGCGGTCTTCTACAAGAAACAGAAGCTTGTATGTTGTTATCAAGCCTGACTTTGGTCCGTAACTGATCTCTAAAACGTTGCAAGGAGCCTAATACTTTGCGAAAGACCTTGAAATCAACATTTTGCGTAGGCGCAAAGGAGGGTCCCAAGCTCAGAAGGTCTATAGCGTTAGAAGAGATGTCAACGTTGCCTAAAACAGTGACCTTAGCCGTTTTATCAAACTGAGATTGATCTGCATTAAATGACCGTTGTTGAGTTTCTGGGTTGTCTGGTTCAAGCTTGGATAAACTAGACTTACGCTCGCCCAGGAGTACGTCAAACTTTCTGCGTAGTCTGGCTTTAGCATCAGACCGCTACCCTCAATAGAAATTGACATCAATTTCTATTCTTATGGATCATCCACCGTTTTCGGCTGTGTTCTATCGCGTGCTACCAACGGCCTTTTCAGTTTCTCCCAAAATGTCCAGAAACTTATAAAATTTCGGGTGTTCGTATAATTATGAACCGCACCCTACAAACAAGTCACTTGCACATTTTTATAACCCACATAAGTATATTATATACTCAGCTTTATATATAAGATTGAATTGCAGCGGCCTAAATTTTGAAGTCTTTTTTGCACAACTCACACAACTCATCTATCTTTTATACGTTGGGTTCTTTCGAAAATGAACGTGGCGTTTTTGTTTTGTGACACAAACCAGCTTACATGATAGGAATAAAAACGGATATTTATCGCTGCCTGTCATAAAGATATGAGAAAAGATATATTATACGGCATAAAGTGAACGAAATGCTTGTGTGAATATTCAAATCAAATGCTTGATTAATAAGAAAACACCTGTGCCTAAGCAGGCTTCTGATAACAACACAGCCTGTGAAGATAAGCATTTTGTCTTCTACGAACATGAATCTATTCTTGATCACTTTTCTGTTGTTTTCATTTCTGACAGTCGGCGCATGGAGACGTCCCAGCCCTGGACCAGGAGGCTGCGACCGTCGCAAATGTCGGCGTAAGTGCGAGGAAGAGGTAGGGAATCATCGTATCTGCACATAGTAAATTCGATAAAAAATTGAGGAGGCAATGATATTAAAATGTCGTACTAAACAAAAGTGATGATTCCAACTTTTTTGAGTTCGCCGCAGATGATTAACCAAAGAAAAATTTTTTGAAATGTTTTTTGATTTTCTTAAGGTGTAGTTCTTGAAATCTGGAAAAAAGGAAGTGCGGTGGCATTACGCCACAACTTTGTAGAGCTAATGCTGTCATAAATTTCCAGATATTAATTTTAATATTCTCAAGCAAGAAACATGTCTTGCACAGTTTGTGATACATGGAACCCTTGATGCCACTCCTTTTGATCCGCAATTCCGATAAATATGGAATTATCCTATCTCACTTGCAGGAGTACTTTTGATAAGCGCAATAAACTAGCCCAGTGATCATTTTCTCATTGTCCATTTCAAACGTTTTTCGTCTTTCTATATTGCCTTCTCTCTATTTTCGTCCCTTTTCAAGAATAAAGGAAGAAAATCCTTAAGACAATAAAATTACTCATGCTTTCACAAATGCAAAGCTTGCCTCTAGCAACTCTTGCAAATGGCAAAAGTAATTTATATAATTTTTTAGGAATACTCAATTGGAGTATGTCATTTAATTCGGGACGAAGACGGGAGACGGAGACCGTACTGGGAATGCGTATGTAGACCGAAGAGAATTTGAATGTGCTCAAGGTGCACTTACATCAAATGCTACCTTGTGCATGAATTTCTAAGTTATTCACATAAAGCAGTTATCTCAAGCTGGGAGCTGTTATATCGAGGAATTTTCACTACGACAAATTCAGCGTCGAAAAGGAAACAATCTGGAGTAAAGCTTCAGCTTTCAAGAGTAAAAATCAAGCTAGAGCTACGCAAAAAATTTGAGAAGGACCCCTAAAATTTTTTCGGAATGCGTGGCTGATGCCACGCACCGTCATTTGAAAAATTTTTTGCAGCACCACCCGCGGAAGGGAAATCCTAGGACCGCCTGCCTCAAGGGTTTTACCTCCAGGTTCATTGGCCGTATTTATTAATGAACACTTGAGGGCAGGGTAGCGTTCATCCTAAAAACGATTAACCCATAGGGACAACGATCTTGAGAAAGCTTACCCTTGAAGGTAAAATTTAACCCAGAGAGCGATTAACTCTTACTCGCGAACGTAGCTCATCACAGCAAATTTAACCCTAGCACAGAGCAAAATTAGATTTACTCCGACACTTCTACGGACATAAAAGCGATCTCTCGATGCACTGCTCAGTCCAAGCAAAACTATTCGACACTAAAAACATATTTAACTTCACTACTATTTCAAAGTTTCTATGGCCTCTTTTCGTACTTTTTGTTATGCTCTACAAAATAAGCTATTAGGTTGTTCAGAAATTAATGCAGGCCTTATTCGATCGCGGTAGTAAACATGGAAGTGTGGGAAACATATCATTCGCTAGATTAAAGCAAACTTCATAAGACTGCATTGCTACTATCAACGTAAAGCTTCAAAGCGAAATTCGAAAATTAAACAATTTTGGTCCAAAAAGATCCTGCGAACTTCCAACTTGGTCAGACATATGTCCACACCAAACATTCATATGTACAACTGCGATATCCACGGTTCGCCATTGAGAAAATGAAAGTTGGCATGCATGCCCTAGCAAATGCAATGCTAGCTATCCTGACATGGGTATAGGAGATTCATAGCACGCAAAGACTGCGGACACATCGACGTCTCCGTGATCGAGCGCTCTTTCGTTTCTCTTACCGTCTGCTGTCTCTCCTATGCACAAACTATCTTCGTCGGACGCAACGGTGCCCAGTCTTTGCGTGTCATGAATCGACGATAGTTCTAAACTACAAACCTTCAAAAGTACAACCATATATTTTCCGAGATGTATAGAACTAGCACAAAAAAGTGGAAAAAGCGAAATTTTTGTTTTTTGGCCGTTTTATGTTTCCTTTTGCGCCCTTAAAAAATGTGGTTCAGTGTGTGCTTAAATTTGAGAAATCTGCTAGTTATTTTTCATACCAACATATAGAAAAGTTATGATTTGTTGAGGATAAGGTCTCAGAATAACCTTATTTAATCATCAGCCCATAGTTTTCCGCACTCCTGCGATATGATTATAGGCTGATGTGCGCTGTATTGGTTTGCTACTGCTTCTAATAGTATTAATCGCATTGGAAAATGTTGATTGCTTAGGGAAGGCGCGTCAGAGTGAATACTCGCAAAACGCTCATTATTTTAGCACCAAACTGATGGTATACTTTGTAGTGCTGAAGTTCGAAAAATTACTTATCTCAGTTTCTTTGTCCAAACGTAAGGGTTATTTTGCGACAGAGGAGAGGATGACGCTGCAATTGCAGACCAAGAATAAATTTACCAGAACCACCTTCAGATGTTGAGTTTGAAACCTAGACACGTAGTAAACCCGTCCTGGTTGTCACAACGTAAAAAGACTATGTCGGGACAAGCCGAAGTATCTCGCATACTATAACGAGCTACGCCCAGGGGGCAGCAAAACTAGCTAACTCCCGCATCAACGAACCAATGGTGACCACGCTAACAGCACTTAGAAAAGAGAATGCGTAGCAAGTAGAGCTATTGTAGCAAAATCAGTATGGGCAAACGGCATGCATTTCTATTCGAGATATTCGATCCGTAAGTTAGTAGTATTATAGAAGTAAATACTACCTTTGCAATAACTGTGAATTTGCACATAGAAGGCATTTCAAGGTAGGGCGAAGATAGCGCAGCGTCAGCGTCGGAGACTAATGGGTTAAAGGTGGGGGAGGAGGGGGCTTAAATTCTGCGCAATGCCAATTGTTGCAATTTGCTAATATTTGAATTTTCATGCATATGGACTGTTAAGACATTTCTCAGTAGTAAAGAGAAAATGGCATCTAGGACACTCAAAATTAGAAGTGCATAAGAAAATGAAAATATTATCAAAAACTTACTAGTTTAGTCTGTTCAAAAACTTGCTATTGCTTTAGCCATAGCGCCAGACGGTCCCTTCTCTTTGAAACAAAAGAGAAACAGAGCACGGCTAACGAACTGCTCAAGGAGATACATGTGTTCAAAACTGCTAAGACCGAAGAAAAGATAGAAATTTGAGTTTTGGCACAGAGAAGAGCTATTTTGCGCAAATGAGGCGCACTGTGAGACTAAAAAGAAAAATAGCACAAGCACGAATTAGCTAGGGAAAAAATGACTAAGTACAAGTCTAATATACTTTTCAATTTCCAATCAACTCATCTTTTTTGATTAACAGAGTGTACAGAGGAGCAGAAATACCCAATTGCGGAGAGCCACTGCTCGGACATTTAGGCGCTTATCAGCTGTTGTTATCGACTGCTCTTCACGTGCGCTGCAGAAGACTTGTGTGCATGTACAACCTTTTACGAGGTTGGCGTAGTCGAACTCTAGTCTGGCGCCATGCCTCTGCGTCTGCATATCGAAAAAAAGTGCTCTGCGCTCGCGTTCATCACGACATGCCGCAGTGTGTCGTTATGTGGCGCGATATGTCGCGACATATAACATATTGCGACTACTCTGGCAATCCGCATAGATTACACCCGGCAGCAATGACGAAAGATAGCCGCCGTCCCTGCTTTGGTTTAATATAGTCAGCACACACACGTCACAGCAGGCTCCGAGCCTTACGTTGCGTTGGGGTTTACTACGGAACCGTCCTCATATCAAACACTTTTTTGGAAATATACTGAGCGTTTTTTGACTAAGAGCCGTGAAGAGTAGATTCTCATCAAAGGTCAGCCTATTAAAGCGCAACGGATTTTCTTTGAGTGAGTGAAAATCCGCAAGCACATTCAAGTGCTCATAACCCTCATTCAGCAATTCTCTTGACAGGCAAAAAAAATCTGAAACAGGTGTTTGAAGGCACTTTTGTTATGCATCTTCAGATCTTGGGACTCGTAGCGTTCTCTTGCGAAACAAGGTTGTTTACTCTTTGAAAATCCGATGGACGAATGCGTGACGGCTTTGCATTCTGACTAAAATGGAATTCTCAGAGATTTTATCAAAATGAAGTTAAAATATCAATGTTATTTCCCCTAATATTCCGTGTCGGATCTTCTTTCCAGATTGTGCCTTGCATCGTGATTTTATGTTCACAACGTTGTCCATGTTACCATGAGCGACATGGATGTAAAATCTGAAAAATGCAGTGTGAACAAAATCATCCGATTTAGTTGTCACCTGGCCTTTCTAAAACAAAAGAGCCTCAAATTTATGAAATTTGTCCTCTTGAAAACAATCCTTTGTCAGGCGTTACGAAGACTCGAGCTACTCGAAATAAAAAAAACTTGTTGGTGAGAAATGAAGTTGACGTTATAGGAAGCAAGTTGATGGTGTCACGCAAATTTAGATACGGTTAGACTACGGATGATCTCTTTTCCATGATCATGACCATGATCATAAATGCAGTCTTTGTGCATCTTTCAAATCTATCTGCGCGAGAAGTTTCTCTTAGGTTGTCAAGAAAATAATGTCGTATTTATTTGCATGCTATGGCACCCCAACTTGGCGAACCCTAAAAGAGGGATATTGCTCGATAGAACAAGCCAAGCTCTACAAGACGGCATCCAAACTGCTTAAGGTTTGTTCAGCATAAAGTTCGAAACCAAAACCTAAAAGGACTTGAATGCATGAAAAATCGAAAAAAATTGTATCTCAATCTAGAAAGTTTCCACAAGTTTCTTACTTACTAAGGCACATACTTTCTATCTGTGGCCGTATTTCTTAACGAATCCTAAGGGTAAACCTTATCCTCAAGGGTAGGTTTTAGCTCCAGGCTCATTGGCCGTTTTCATCAACGAACCCTTGACGGTAGGTAGATTCATCTCAGAAGCGATTAACCCCTATTGACAAACTAACCTTGACAAACCTTACCCTTGTGGGTAAATTTCACCCCAGAGAGCGATTAACTCGTACTCACAAACGTAGCTCATCAGAGTAAATTTAACTTTAGCATAGAACAAAATTATATTTACCTGACACTTCTACGAACATGAAAGTGATCTCTCGATGCACTACTCAGTCCTAGCGATACTGTTTCGACAATAAAAACATATTTATGGTTACTGCTATCTCAGACTTCTCCCTAACTTTCTATAGTCTCATTTCATGCTTTCTTTTGATGTTATCATCCGATATAATATTGTTATTGCTGAGCTGTTATAGTAAACCATCTAGTTTTGAGTAAAGTACCCTAATTTCACTCGTACAAGACGCGGGAATCTTATTCTAAAATCCGCCAGCCCAAACACGCCACAACACTTTGCGACCAAAGAACCCTATACCGGGCTCCGTATTGCCTGAGAGAATTGAACGTTTAAGGTTCGCTCTTCGAAACACATTGAAGCGATTGAGCGGCTTGTTTGAAAAATCAAAAAAGGTGCGCCTTGTACGCGTGAAATCAGGGTAAATGTCCAACTAAATACTTTGGCTTGACGAACATCAAGCTCAGCAACTCGGAAAATTTTTGTACTACAAAACTCTCTCATTCAATTTAGTTTACGCATACTCGTTCAGTAAATTTAATACATGATCACACCATCGTACCTCAAATAGATAGGCTTGAAGTTGACCAAAAATAATAAAAAATAATTCATCCTAATTTGTAGTATGCTTGGACGAGACGCAAAAATGAGAAATCTGAAATATTAATAATTGAAAATATGTGTTTGTTGTCAAAGCAGTATCGTTAGGACTGAGCGATGCATTAGATCATTTTATGTTTGCACGAAGTGTCGGTAAATTTAACCTTGCTTTATGCTAGGGTAAAATTTATTCTGAAGAGAAGAGCCACGCTTTCAAGGGTAAAATTTACCCCAGAATACGGGGGTGAATACGGGTTTCGCTCTCCGGGCTAGGTTTACCCTCAAGGGTAGGTTTAGCCCTTGAGGTTGAGCCTACCTTGTGCTTCGGGAGTACAGACTTTATGCTTTCTGTGGCCGTATTCATCAATGAACACTTGGGAATAGAGTCTATCCCGAGCAATTAACACGTATTCATCAACGAAACTTGAGGATAAATCTTACCCTTGAGGTAAATTTTACCCCAGAAAGCGATTAACCCGTATTAACGAACGTGGCTCATGACGGTGATTTTAACCCTAGCATAGAGCAAGGTTAGATACTCTGACACTTCGTGCAAAGATCAAGGTAATCTCTCGATGTTCTATTCAGTCTACTGTTTTGACACGATACTGTTTTGACAAAAAGCACATATTTCTAATCAATGTTATTTCAAATTTCCTAACTCTTCCTTTCTCTCGTCTAGTCATATTGAAAAAATAAGTTAGTTTTTTTCAGTATTATTGGTCAGCTTCAAGTTTATCTAGCTGAGTACGATAGTTTGGCCATGTATCAAATCATTTGCTAAACGAGTCTATTGGTGGACTAAAATTTGATTGAGTGTGTTCCATATCACGAAGTTATTTCCGAGTTGTTAAGCTTGATGTTCGCCATATCAAAGCCCTTAGTCATACTTGTACTCTAATCAAAACTAAATTTTTTTTACCATATCTTCAACTAATATAATACGGGCCCCAAGCCAGCAGTACAAAAGAAGATAAAAAAGCTGTTGGACATAGAATTATGAAAAGAAAAAAATTAAAATAAAAAACTATCACTTTTTTCAACATTTTTTAGGCCTCAGAGTCTCCAAAATGGATTTTAAAGCGCAAACAGCTGAAGATTTCTGCAGAAACAATCAACAGGGGCCCTACCCTTACGCTTACAGAAATGTGCAAAACTTTGACGATTGCCTTCTTCAAAAGAAATTCATGGCCACAGAACGATCAAAACGAGCACCCATGTTGAGACTCCAATATCTCAGTCTGAATCATTTTCTGAAAAATAATGAAGTGTGCCTAATGTGAACTATTTTTACTACAAAAGCAGCCGATTTTCCAGAAGAATGCCATCATCCGGGCTTGAATTCCGGCCACAAAAGTAAACGCAAGTTCAAAGCTTTTCAAATATTTAACAAATGTGACTAGAAGTCCATTCTAACCACCAGTAGATAGAACATGAAAACAGCTTTTTTATAGTGGGCTCAATCTTTCCCAAAGAAGAAAGCTTGATAGGAAAAAGTTGTTTGAAACAGGGTTTGGAAAAACGCTCATTATTTCTGCGATTCAATGTATCTGCCTAGCACCTCATCAAAATAAGCGTTCTGGTTGATCACTCCGATCACAACTTCGATACTTGCAGGTAGACATCCCATTCTCTGGATTTTCCCTTTTTAATTCATTCATTTCCGAGATTCTCAAATGCCTTGTTTTTAGCAAACGTTTGAATGAATGGTTCTTTGAACTCGATCGGCCGGCGGTCTACGGCTCCCTCTTGTGATCATGTGTTACTATCTAGTTGTTTTACCTTTCCTGATCATAGCAAATGCAACCGCCGAGCTGCTCTGTAGTTCCAAAAAGTGGGCCAAAAATCCCTATTTTTTTATGATGCTCTTCGGCCACGCCTAGGGAGCAGCCAACCTTCACGTTTCCCTCCCCTATAAGCTCCGCCTTAGCAACGGCTGGTATAAAAAAGGCTAGAGAGGGTTGGACTACACACTCAAAACGAGCATTCGACAAGGTTTGTTTGAACTAAAAAATTTTTTGCAGTATCGTTCTTTGAGTAATACTTGATCTACTTGCCACAAAATTGATCCAATTCACCTTTCTCTTTTCGCCTAATCAGTACTACTATGATATTAGTCAAAGTGACTATTGTAAGATGTGTATCGCCAGGAGATCAAGTCCCGATCTTAAACTTTGCAGTCATATCCGCAGAAGTCTTTGTATTTTGGAAAAAACTATGGAGCATGCAGTGCTCGTATATGGGTAGAATACGAACGCCTTAACTAGGCACGTCCTCTGCGAACTGCTGGTCCTTTTGTCCTACTGCTTACATCGTGTTGGGACCAGTGGTCCGCGGAGGCGCAGTCTAGAGGTGTTCGTTCTTCCACTCCATGTATATGATTATGATCAAGCTTGCACGCTTTCTCGAATAAAGTTTCTTGGGTAACAATGACATTGAAGAGCTTTCAACACTGACTTCAGCAATGTAAATTTCACCTCAGATGTTCCACTTCAACGTAAAGTGTCATCCTTAGCATATACATAGGCAAAGTTTGTGAAAAGTCAGAGACTTAACAACGAGCAAGTTCACTGAGTTTGGCAGCTTAAAAACGCATTTTGGGCTTTGATTTTACAACCATAAAAACAGAGACAAAGCACTGACATTTATTTCAGGTCATGTGTTCAAAGGGCGTTATTGTTGGCGTTGCACTGCTGATGATGCAGGTAGTTTGCTCTAAATCATGTCGTTACAAACAGAATTTTTAGCATTTTGTTTCCAGTTGGAAAAGTGGATCGTAGTACAGAAAAATATTAACATACAATGGAACCACTAAATTCTACCGTACAAACTTAGAGAAAAACAGAACATTATGTTAGAGCACAGAAAATTATTCTGTAGATTTGATATTTGCGTATTGTACATAATCAAGAGCCTCAAACACAGAAGCAACGACAGAGCTATATACTACAGAGTGTCCCCAAAAATGTGCCTACAGTTTGATCGTTGATAACTCTCTTGTCATGAAGTCTTTTGAAAAGTTTCAAGTATCATGTGGAGCTGGGTTTAGCTTAGATTTTTGGAATGGAGCAAAGAACTAATTTCCTTTTCTTATAGGAGCACGGTAGAAACTCGCAGCATATGGCGTCATTGTGAGATAGGCCGTTCAGTGATAAAATTTTCAAAAAAAATCTGGGAAATTGTATAAAAAGGTTTTCATGCATGCTGATTTCAGTACATGACTTTTTGCGCGTTAGCAGAGATATGAATGGCGTAATCAAATCTTGACAAACTTTAGAAATCGGTTGCTACGGCAAATTGGCACAACTTATGAAAAAAACATTGCAACAAAGTGTGAGTTTCTTATTTGAAATCAGCGATTGGAATCAAGCTAGTGTTGAAATTCCAGCTTCTTTGGTACTTTTTGAAAATAAAATATGTCCCTTAATCATGCAGGACCCTCCTCGAAGTTGCTACCGTAATTGCACAGTAAGGAAGAGAGTGTGGTATCTCGCTCCATGCTGCAAATCTAAGTTGGAGCCAGCTCTACGAAATGTATTTTCTATTTTCTCGAAAGATTTCATGGCAAAAGAGTTAATTAACAATCAAATACTAGGCACATTTTTGATACATCCCGTATACTACATGAAATGTCCGACTTGAAAGTTTTTTGTTCGCGAACGCGAAAACGCTACAAAAATATAAATGACTCTTCCTCCTTCTAGCGGCTAAATTTCCGAGCTAGTACTGCTTCAAATAATTTGAAACACCAATGTCCCTACATCAGTAAAGAATGCCTCATCAGATTCTAACTAATTTTTAAAATTGGCTCCGAGTACTTTCAAAAAAGACTTCTTTTTACGAACATACTACGGTATGCATACGCCCTTCTAGATTCTCACAAGCTGCACTTCTGTACATCAACTTTTAGTGAAGGAAAAATTTCGAGTTTCCAATGTTAGTCATTTCAAGCAATTAGAATAGTTTTGTCAGGGAATAAAAAGAATTCTAGACGCAATCTATAACGAATACGTTCCTCTTGACGGTAACCCCTGAATCGTGAAGAAGCATAAGCCCAGTGCTGGCTTACTCAAAAAAAACATTTTAAGAAGATTTGTGAACATGCAAATTTTTGGGACAACTACAACGGCTAGTTTAGTTGAACTGCGATTAATAAGAGACAGGAAAGGAAATGAACCTGCGCAGTTATTTTATGTGAGTAGTGGTTGATTCGAATGCTGAACTATAGGATCACCAATATAAAACAACTATGGTTTTGGTAGAGTCATTGACGTTTGAGCGCTCTACTTGGTGATCATAGCCGACAACCTGTCTCCAGCTTTTCAAGTATGAAAAAGCATTGACAAGCTACAGTCGAATCATTTCATTTGATCATATGTGCATCCACACACACTGTACATCTTCGGTGTCCTCATCCTGAATTTGCAATCGCAAAAGGCAAGGAACTGAGCGACTGTTATCGCCTATATCACTTTGAAGTGACTAGTACCTAAAAAGGAAAAAAACGCTGAAAACACCTAGAAAACACTTATTTGAAGGGTGGCCGCCTTCAAAAATCCAGGATGGGAAAACCAAAGTGGACGGTGAGTGCAATGACACACATGATCATACGAAAGGATTTGACTGTATCTTACGGTTTAGACTGGGTTGTTGGAGTACTTGGTTTACCAAGTTAGGCTCTGAAAATATCAAGTTTTATCCAATATCCTAAATCGTTCCCCTCCTTTGAAAAATTCCCATCTTTCGCCCTACTGTTTGATTTTGTCGCTGTGTAGCAGTTGTAGGAAAACTCTAAGATAATTTCTTTATCGTACTGAGTTAATGTCCCACAAAAGAGATTGAAACTGCTAATTTTAACGCAGATTTACGGAGTACTATCCTGCACCTTCACAGTTCAAGAAGAGGATTTCCTTGCGGATACCATGTATGAGATGCCAAAAGAAAACAAAGATATGTGTTTCCGTACTTGTTTTGAGGAAAGTAACTGCACCTTTGTCAGTTACCGTGAGGTAAGTAAGCCCTCTGTACTTCGTTCAAATATGACTTCCTTTTTCACGCTGAGTTAAAGATATTTAGGATTTTTGCTCAATTTTTACAAACGGAAACGCTAGCCAGACTGGAGGCGACACTGTGTATAAGCTTGATTGTCAGCTCAAGCTGACGACATGCAGACGCTTGCCACTTGCGCCCCAAGTGGGATTCCAAATAATTTCAGCACCTGCTTTACAGAACCAAAGCAGGATGAATGAGTTGCTCACAAAGCAAATATCCACTATGTTCACTATCACGCATATGTTTTACCTTGAAAACACTGGCTATTTCTTGACCAAGATACTTCACCAAGTCCCATTGGAGCGGAAAAACTCAATTATAGGTCATCCATGTTCTTCAAAACTGTGCGACACAATAATGTATGTATTTAGCCTAGTCTTTGCCAGGGAACCTCAGCCAGAATGTGTGTCGGTCCCTGTCTTTCAAAAAGCGAGTAAGTTTATCATTCATGCAAACACGGAATCGTTAACGGTCATATCTCAGATTCGTACAGAGGAAGAGCAATGTGGATTTTGATAACGCAAACACTGATTGAAATTCAGCAAAGCTCTGCTTTTTACATCAGAAGGAAATCACCACGCTCTAAGTCAAGACAATTGCGTCTTTGTACGAATCTGGTAGCCGATGACGGTATTGAACCTCGTTAAATCACACCTTAGATAATGCATTCGGATTGACTTAAAGGAAAATCATTCATACCAGCAACAAGCGTTTTACGAGGGAAGCATACTTGCTGATGACCTTCTGAGATAATATGTATGCCTTCTCAGACAAACCACCGGAACTTCCGCAGGACAAGCCAAATTTGCAGGAGTGTCGCAGGATTTTGCTCGCTATTGCAAAAATGAAAACGTTGAAAACCGAAAATTCCGCGGGATTTTCATGCTATACTGGTTGAAAACCGGAACTTCCGCAAAACCTTCTTCAAAATCCTGCGGAATTTCCGAAAAATGCCAAAAGTTCCGCAGCACTTTGGCCTAGCAGAACTTCCGCAGGACTTTGAATGTGTTGTCTCGTGATTTTGCCTCGCCAACAACTAAAGTGCATTATCGATGTCAGCCGTAGTGTAGAGGATAGTACGTGGGTCTCGCAGTCAACAGGGTAAGGTTCAAATCTCGCTTCGGTGTTCTCTTTTGCTGTTGTGGTTGGCATTCTTCGGAACTTCCGCAAAACCTCATTTCGAAACTTCTGCAGCACACTAAGGGAGCTTCCGCAGGTGACCCGGCGGAACTTCCGCAAGCGCTCTGCGAAAGTTCCGGTCATTGTCTGAGTTTACACTCGCTTTCTCGTCTGTTAAAGCAGCTAATCCAAATCTGACTCCTTTTCCGCTGAACTTGTCTCTGAAGGTGGTTGTTGCGGACCTTTTTGCGGCGAGTTTGACCGCTGAAGAAAAACACGATCGGAAGGCTAATACGGAATGCTGTGATGTAGTGGTTGGTGGGAGGCTTTACGAGACGATACCCTATGCCTGAAAGCAACACTTCTTCGTGAAAAGATGTCACGCTTGTACCTTAAAGTTTTAAAATCTCAATGACAGAGGCAATGCCAATGACATGGTGTGATGCGCATGATGCTGGTATGACAAACGGATCTAGTCACAAGCCTTCCGCGCCGTAGTAAATGCTCTTCGATCGTTCAGTCGAAGATAATTGAGATTATGATTGACACTTTGAGCATAGTTCAAGCTATTTCAAAAGCGACGCAATTCGAGAACCATTACATTCAACATTTGTAGTCTGCCTCTGACAGTTGCCAGACAGTGTTGCAACTGAGTTCGTGTGATGTATGCCAGAAGCCTAAGACCAGCTACGTGAAGATCATATGTGCCGTGAAGGCGTTCGGCAAACACTGGTGATAAGTTTCTTCCAGGTCAGCACAAAATGTACTTTGGAGACGTCTACAATGTGACAGGCTACGAGTTTTTGGATGCGTATGCATTCAGCACTTGCTGTGTTTGTGAAGGAATGTGCTGCGGACAAGTGCCAATAATGCGGAATTCAACATCTACAATATTTATTCCACCGATAAGTTTTGTCCCAAAGAACCTACCCTTTCTCGTAAGCGATGCAAAACAAGCACTCTTTATCGCAAATGTGGCAGATGAGAGTAACACGCCTATGTATAAACAAAACTGCTCCTCTCCTCTTCAGTTGTTGACAACGTGCAAAATGGCTTCTATTACTTTCTACTAAGTCATTAACAATCAAGCTTTTTCCAAATTCCGTCACTCCGGATTAGAAATTTTAGGTTGGTCAAGTTTTGAATGTTTAGCATTACGATTTGTGTGGAATTACACGAGTCAGTTTATATCGTGTATGTTCCGATTGTTCGCTGCTTCTTGTGTATGTTTTGAGATAGATAGTGGTCTTGTAACGTTGCCATAAAAGTCTTGCAAAAAAATACTTTCTCAATTTTAGTAAAAAAAAGTAAGGCCCGTATGCACGTACGTCCCCGCTGGGGAGGGGAGGGGAGCTGGATCCCCAGGGGAACGATCCCCTCCGCCGAACCCCGCCATGACAGAGGGGAGGGGAGCGATCCCCTCCCCTGCACCTAAGCGGGGATGGTGTGAATGATTTCAGAGGTATTGATCGAGCGAACCCCAGTGCATACGGGGTTCGAATGGGGGAGGGGATCCCTTCCCTTCCCTTCCCCCACTCGAACCCCGTATGCGCGAATTCAACTCAATAACGCGGGGGAGGGGATCGACATCCCCTGCAACGAAGTAGGGGTTCGATGGTGTAGATCATGCCAGAGACGCGGATATTCTGGTTCTGCCCAGTCATTACCAAGCATTTCGTTCATTTTGATGGAGGATTTTCTTTGAAAGCCGGGTTCTTCTCTCAGCGACCTGTGGCTTGCAATTTGTCTTTCTTTTCTATATTCGCCTCTTGAGAAGAAATCCGAGCAACAATAGCTGCCAATTTCGATTATTTGTAGGTGATCTTGATCATTCAGGAAATTTGTGCATTTTTCATATAACATAATAGTTTTAACTATATAGGCTGATTAAACACACTGTAACTTTCATATTTCATGACATGTTGCCATTATCTTGTTTTTTTTAACATAAGCTGCCTCGAAAAAATCTAGAAAGTAGCATATTTGCCTATTTCTGAGTAGAGATCCCCTGGGGAGTGATCCCCTCCCCAGCGTTCCCCTTGTGCATAGCAGGGATGGCTGCTGGGGATCATTCCCCTGGGATAAAGGACGATATGCAGCTGATAGCTACAGCGTTTATGGAGAGCTGGCAAAATTTGCAACTTCTGTTATGTGTTAGAATACTGCTTTGAGCGTCCGCGCGGTACCCTCCCCCCCTTTTCGGCAGCATAACGTCTTCTACCCATTCCCTTGCAGAGACACATCAACTTCTATAGTTCAACATTTTTACGCTGAAATGGAGCAGCATGAGCGAAAGTGGGCAGCATCCAAGAAAGCAGAATCATAATGGGAGTAGAAAAAATCATTTTTAGTGCCCCGAGCGCAGTCACTGCATACGCGCATTCCGCAACCCTAAATTTATGAAAGTGAGGAGATGAAGATGAGTTGCAGTCAAAATATGTAATAAGAAAGAGTTTTTCATAGAAAATTTGAAAGCAAGGTGATTTCCCCGCTTGATCCCCTCTTCTGCATAAGAGAGTTCACTTCCCCTCCCCACAGGGGATCCCTTGTCCGATATTGTTTTTGTGCATACGGGGGTTCGCGCGGGGAGGGGAGGGGATCCCCAGCGGGGATCATTTCAATGGTTAAGCGCACATCCCCTCCCCGCGGGGATGTACGTGCATACGGGCCTAAATGTTGGTTCAGTAAATTTTTCTGCACTATTTCAAAGCTTGAAATGAAATTTTTCGGTTTTCCAGACTTGTCTATGACGAAAGACACGCACGAAAGTACTTCTGCCTTTTTTCTCACAATGAAATATCGTACAAAGCTTATAATGACCCGTACAACAACTGAAAGGTGCTAAAGAAAGAGAAAAGCGCAATGCCGTAGGCGCAAAAACTACGAAAGTGCAAAGAGGTTAGCCCATGATTGAGAGCGTTAATATCTTAAGAATATTGGGTTGTGGAGAAAGTTTTCGGGCACTTTTGGAAATTTCATTTTCAAACGCATTTTATCGGCGCTCGGTCGGACTTTGACACCAAGTTTTTTTTATACTGCCCAGTAGAGGGAAGCCTAAAGTTTTCAATACGGCTTCTGAATTTTGTCGATGCCAAGAAGTGCAGCTGCACTCGGGATTTGCGATTTGCGCTCAGAAATTACACGCTATCGAACTTGCCTCTGACTGCAATACTTTTCGCGGCTGACGTCGCTTCTGCGGAGATCGCCGCGCTTGGGTGATGGGTCCAAAAGATGTGTAAGGCATTGCCCCAACTATGTTCGCAGTAATCGAAGTCCTGTGCAGAATGAGAAGACCTTAAAGTGACTTAGGCGAAAAGTGGTGCATTTTTGGGGGCAAAAAATGGTCGATTTTTCAAACTTTCTAAAAAAAATTTCTGCAGGTAGTTCCTCAAAGACATGAATAGTCTTCATAATAGCTCCCCAGCAGACTTCTATACAATCACAGCATCTGGGGTCTCCAGCTGTTATCCGGCCTTAGATAATCCTGCACAAATAGGCCACTTTTCGAGACGACCTTTTTCCTTTCTGCACATCCTGGTGGACGGCAGTGAGGTTTTGAAAAGCCAGCACGACATGTTGCAGTCGAAGTTCTCTTTGCAACGAAATGCGATCTAAAATCTAAAAAAGGATCAATCTGCTCGATGTTGCAGCGATTTGAAAAAAAATGTCGTAAGTGCCCGCGAACCTTCTTCAGAACCTAATAAAAAAGGCAAAGCAAGGGACAACACCTACCGTATCTCATTGACGGTATGGCTGTAAACTGCTCAGTGTTATTGACGGTATGGCTGTAAACTGCTCAGTGTTAATCTCCGATATCGTTGAGTTTTTCGAAATAGTCTCCTGCTGATGACTAAGTAGACAAGTAGCTAAGTAGACAGCATTGCAAAACCCTCAGTCTTACTTTTAGACCACTGCCATAGAGTCATGTGCTGTCTAAGTACTATTTCAAAGTATCCACAAATCACGCTGAAATGAAAATTTACTTCTGCGCATGAGCAGCCACTCAGATAATCGCCGGAGGCAGGCGGTCTGCAAACTCGCGCTTTTCTGCAAGCGGTCACCAAAATTTTGGGGCGTGGCCAAACCTTCAGCGGGCGGCACTTCTTTTACGGTCGCATGTTCTGCCAGTGGGCAGCAATACAGGATTTTCTGCAAGCGTTTGGTAAATAATTTCTTTCAGCGAGCGCTGGCCAAGCTTTCAAAAAGCGTTCGGACTCTTTTTAAGCGGTTTCGTGCGTACATCGACCAAAGGCTCAGATAATCGCCGGAGGCAGGCGACCATGCGATTTATGGGCAGGCGGGCACCGGAAAAATAGTTCGCTGATTACTCGCGGTTCGCTTGAAGATATCTGTAGAAATTTTGGCGAAATTTTAGACCAATGCTCGGAGAACAAATGCGGCTTTTTCATGGATTAGTTGCGGCGCAGTGGCCGCATTCTCGCGGACTTTCCGCGAGAATGTGCAAGATTATTGGGGGCCGCACGGCCCTTTGTGAGGGACCGCACAGCCCTCGGATACTTTCCGCTAGGAGAAAATATCCCAAACTTGGGTAATCAGACCACCAATGACACCTCTGCCATGTAGAGTCCCACCTTTGCTCGGCGTACGCCTGAAACTGCTTAACACATTGACGACCAAGGCGTTTCACGGACCAGTCAACATTTTCAAAATAAAATCACGCACCATCCCATCTACAGTATACCTACAGTAACGCTGGAATGTAGCAAAAACAGTAGAGGGTGTGTCTAAATCCAGCACGAAGGAAAACTCCCGGAGTGAGTTTTAAACAAAATAGTAGCCATTTCAACGACACACATAATGTGTCAAACCTTGACACACCATGTGTGTCAAGCGGTCGTCAATGTGTTAAACACCGTCCGAGCGCCAGCTAAAAATTTGACCAGCGCTCGCTGAAAGAAATCGTTTGGCCACCTCTTGCAGAAAATTCTGTATTGCCGACCGCCGGCAGAACATGCGACAGCAAAGGAAGTACCGCCCGTTGGAGGATTGGCCACGCCTCAAAATTCTGCTGACCGCCTGCAGGAAAGCGCGAGTTTGCGGACCGCCTGCCCTAGGCGATTGTCTGAAGGTGAGACTCTATGTGGCAGAGGTGTCATCGATGGTTTAATTACCCGAGTTGTACCTTCTTTCAGCGGAAGGTACCTTGGGTAGTGCGGTCCTTCACAAAGGACCATGCGGCTTCCCAAGATTTTGCATATTCTCAGCGGAAACTCCGCGAGAATGCGGCCACCTCGCCTTTTTCGAGCGTTAGTGCAAAAATTGGCCAAAACTAATCCAAATTTCTGAAGCGGACCGCAAGAAGTCAGCGAACTGTTTGTTCGGTGCCCGATGC